ACACACACACACACACACACACACACACACACACACACACACACACACACACACACACACACACACACACACACACACACACACACACACACACATATATACGTGTATATGAACTGACTTACTTTCTGTGCATGAAGCTCGATACGTTTCGTGTACCCATACGTGCATTTGTATGAAACTCTATTTGGCTTGCCTGCATAAAAGTAACATATATATATATATATATGTGTGCGAATGAACGTATGAATGCACGTGTAGGATGTACACACCCTTTTCCGCGGAGCTCGGTTCAGCACGTACACAGAAAGAAAAAAAAGGGCTCAATAAAAATAACTCTTAAAGCGGTCTTCCAACGGTCTCGTTTCGTCTTGACTGAGAAGAGTCTGATTTATTACGCGGTTACGAAAGATGTCGCGAGTAGAATAAGTACGGAACGGTACATGAATGCTAACAGTGTATGACCTTTGCGTCGCATATTTCTTAGATGAATACTGTACTTTGCAGCAATTTCCTATAGCAAATCTTTGGAAGGAAGTTTACCTGTGTAAAATCTTGATTGTTAGCCAAAAGGAAATTTGTTTTAATTATTTCTATTTCTTAAATAGCTGCCATTTCTTCGGCAGCTTTATTAATAATCTAACGTATCGGTCAATTTCTTTTATCCTAATCCAGTAATCGTTTATTTATTTATTTTTTTTAATTTGTGAGGAGATTAAAGTTGAAGCTAATTGAAAGATTAGAGCTAATTGATTATAGATAAAGTCGTTTATTAATCAATTACGGGTCATGGTCGCGTTATATAAACCTCGGGATATACAAAGTGCGCGATCAGCATATCGATGGGGGGGGATTCTGGCTCTTATCGTGCACTGCGTTTACAAATATTACTTTATCAGGATTGTAAAACACACCAGCACGTACATACATATATAAAATACGCAAACATCGGATGAATCGCGCAACTGCTGCATACGGTGATAAACGCGCCGGTTATCCTCTATCATCGATGTAACGATTCCTTGCTATTTTCAAAAGCAGATTATTATTTCATCCCCCGCTTCACCTCTCTATATTCCGTGACATATCACATCGTATGTATATACGTAGAGTATATTAATCATTTTTTAATCGTTGCGCAACGCTTCGATTTTTAGCATGCAAATGTATACGTTTTACATATACATTTGCTGCGAGAATTCATTTTTTATCGAAAATTTTAATAAACGTTCGTATTTATCGAAAATAATTTAATATTTTTGTGCAAACAGTACGCGGTTGAATATTACGTAATGTATTATGAATGAATAATTTTCATTGCCAATTTTTATTGAAAAATATTTCTCTGATGTGTGAACACAAACACATGATGTGCGCGAAACTGTACACTATATTGTACATGCATGTATGTAGGTATTCATTATTCGTCGTTATATCTATCGTCTATCGATCTTTCTGCTCCGTGGCGTGTGTAATACTACCCTCTTTCGGCGAACCTTTGATTAAAGCCTCGTTGTGAGACTAAAGGATTAATTGAGTGTTTTCTGCATTAAGGATTCACAAAACTCCTCATCTTCGCCGTCACTCGACCGAACTTTCTCATGCGAGATTACGTTGAACATACCAAAAATCCCTGACTTCCCTCCTTTTTTCGGCCGCCTTGAATCTCGAGACAATTGCTGTCGTGGCACTCGTCTTTCTCATCCGGTTTTCTCCCGGGGGATGCTTTTATCGTGAATGTTTACAGGGTTTATCTGCGCACCCTTTCCATACTGCCATGCACCAGAGTCACTTTACGTCCACAACCCTTAGTAATATACGGGGCGTGCAACGCATATGGGTTGCACCCCTGCAGAATACCAGATTTTTCGTGGGGCGTTTTTAATTTCTTCAGGGTTCGGGGGACTAAAAGGTCTCCTTTGAAGAGAATATGCGCCCTTTTGCGAGAAATCTTACTTATGAAAAGAATAATTTTTGATTCCTTCGAGTAAACGATATTGGGGACTTTTATAAAAATTAATTTTCGTCTGAAATATCTCACTGTAGAAATTCAGCTTTGAATTTGACGCGATGAAAGTAATTTAGATTTTGTTGAATTCCCGAAATCGTGCTTTTACGAAATATAATTTCCCCGGAATATTGTTCGCGACAATTTAATTTACCGTCGCGCTGGTCCGAGAGCTAGTTTGTTCAACATGACGATAATTTACTCGGAAATCGTTGATTGCTGTAAGTACGTAATTCGCGTTTCACAAGGATAGAAATGACAACGGTCGTTCTTGTAAAGGACGACAGAGATAAAGAAATAAGGGGGGGGGGGCGTTCGTTCGGAATGCGTGCCTTCACTGCTTTTTCGAGCTGTGACGTGCAGATGTAACCCTCGTGTGTCTCTGCACGCGATTCCGACATTAATTTTACGTCGCACGCGTGCCGCGATAACTTCTGCTGACGTATCCCCCCCCCGCCCC